TTTAGACCTGCCTAATCAGGATAATTAAGCGTTAGTACCCACTTAGGATTACAGAGCAGAGCAGATTGATCTCATTGAGATATTTTACAATCTAAAATATGCTGATCTTGTGAGTCAATATCATATACTTAGTAAATCCTAGCACACAACCTCGTTCCAACGTCAGCCACCAACTGGAGCCATTCTCCTGGTGGCGTCTGATCTTTCTGCTCAACACATTTTCCGAATACCTCCCAGACCTTGAGGAACTTGTGATTACTCTCCTTTGTCGTCTCAATAGTATCAAATGCTTTTACCATCCAATCATACTGTTTCACCTTCCTATAAGCCTCACGAGCCTTCTGCTTCTCAGAATCCTTAGCAAGGAATACTCTAACCTGGATGCAGTAGAGAATCAGGGCTGCGAGACCAGCTGCTAATGCAGTCGCGACAGATGACCCGTCCACGATCTCCGGGGGAGTTTTTCTGTTTGGACCGCTGTCGACTTCGACTCTATCACCGGGAAAAGTGTAGCTCAGACCCGAGGTATTACCGACGTAGTCTACGCTTGCACCTGAAGAGTTTGCAGCGCCGATGGTGAAGATCTTGCCTGTTGCTGCTTTCGAGGGATATGTTTGGACGTCGTGGGCTCCCTTGTCGCTCGCCGAGCAGAACATGAGGATGTTGGCGTTGGCAGCCTCGATGACGGCGTTCTCGAGGTCCTGTCTTTCTCTGTCATCCTTTGGTGGGTCGATGGTCCATGACATGGAAATGATTTGGACTCCTTGTACTATCGCTGCACGGATGGCCTATCGGTGTTAGTTACTGTTGTCCATCATGTTCCAGTTTACATACCTTTGCAGCACTTCTGGCGGTGATATTCAGCTTGGTCCCATCTTCAGATGGAGTATCCTCAAGTCTCAATATGAAGAGAGATGCATGCGGACACATGAGATGGATATTCTTCGCCATGATAGTTCCGTGACCAGTTCGAGACATGTAATATGGATCGAGAAGACCTCGATGCTCAGAACGTATGCAAAAGCTTCTACCACCGGTAAAATCGTAGTCAAGATCCTTTATGTCAACTCCATCATCAATAATGGCAATCTGGATTGGTCCGATCATCTCGCTGATCTTAGTGCCAGGGGCCATGGGATAATTTGCCTCAGCTTCAAAGACCAGCTTTCTGAAGTCTGTCATACACTGGATCCACTCGTGCTTGGTAGTATGCTCTGGGACTTCTTCAGCGCGAGCTGGGGTCTTGTCAGTTCGTCTTCGATGCGTATTTGGCCACTCTAATTCGACTTCGAGTTTGGGACAAAGTAGCTTCATTCTGTTCTGGAACTCGTTCACATTGTATTCAGTTCGGACGGAAGATTCAAGGCCCTTTTGCTGTTAGTATACCGCCATATGATGACAACTAGGCAAGACTCACTTGCTGGATATGAAGTTTGACAAGCCCCAGTTCGGTTAACTTTGCTAACCCTCCAGGCTCGCTCCAGCCTCTGAGGACAGCATTATTGCCGCTCCAATAGAGATGAATCTCACGTGCCTTCGGAGCGGCATTGACAATGACTTCGGTGCACAAGTCTGTCTTGTTCCAGTCCCAAACCTCAACGCCCATGCCTTGGAGCGCCTTCTCAATGGCCTCATCACTGTGCGATGGGGAATTGGGATCAGAGTCTTGTACAAACACGCGTAGGACCGTCTCAACGCCCTTGTTGCGGAGCTGGTTGAATATATGCACCAAGTCCGACCTCCCAGCCCCATCTGGTACGGGCTTCATTTGTTTGCGCATGGAGGTTCTCGACTTACTCTGCTGTGGCTCCTCAACCGTGATTCTAGGGATCCAAACGTATTGTAGAGTGTCCTCGAAATTGATGTTGCGCAGAAGATTAGTAAGTCCCTTCTGAGTGAGGGTTTCATCTGGATGCATCATGCCAGAGAGGTCAAAGCTAAGCTCCTTGTCTACGGCATGTCAAACACAATTCAATCCATGAGTAATATTCAGAGGAAATCTTAGACTTACCCGAGGGTGTATTCTTTCCATACAGGATCTCCATAGCGTCAGTGCAATCCCGGGATCTCAAATAGTGCAGCTTGAGCAACCGTTCAATTCCCTTCACAATTGTCTCATCCACTGGATCTGATTTGCTGCCACTCTTTTTGCCCTTCTTGGACTTGTTTGTACCTGATTCATCAGTTGTCTTCTTTTTGCTGTCATCTCCAGCATCTGGAACAATACTTGGAGCCGGTGAGGCAATGGGCACAGACGGCTGGATGGTGATACTGCCTCCATACTTGGTTCGGTGATCGACTCGTACGCTATCCCGCATCTCATGTCGCATGGAGCTGTTAGGCGATGAGATAGATGGCACAGATGACGACATGCCACGATTTGGAACAGATTCTGCTTCTTTGCCAGGCTTCTCTGCTTCTTCTGCCAGTTTCTTTCTACCCTTTCTGACACTTTCTTTATGACACCTATAAGGAGAGAGATTTGCCTTATTGAAATCGCCGTTTTTGCTGTTAAAAATCGCCCGATCGCCCTTGTCTAGCATCATCTTCACATACTGTAGCTGTTCTCTCTTGCAGTTATTATAGTCAACAGCAAGATGAAGCGGGGTGTTCCCATTGTCGTCCTTTGCTGCCAAAACCTCGGGCTTCGCTTTCTCTATGAGTAGATCAAGGAACTTGATCCTCTTGTGAATGCCGATGTGAAGACAATTCATGCCCCTGCTTCCGACGATGGAAATGATGCTGCTTATGTCAGGATGAGCCTCGCACATCCACTGCACTAGTGGTTTCTTTCGCTGCTCAATTGCAAGGAACAGTGATGTGCACCCCGAACGGTCTTTGATTTCGAGGTAATTCTTCTGCTGGCAGAGGAATTTGATGAGGGGCTCCATTTTTTCATCCAGGTTAGGAAGTGACTTTTTGTCTTCCTTGGCCATGATGTGAAGAGCTGTCGGCTGGTCTCTGTCTCTAGTCTGGCGGGCGAGGTTTGGTCCCCGATGGGTCACGAAAGCAGCCAGTTTCTGACTGTCGGTGAGGTCGAGTTCTCCATCGCGAATTTCTCTGAGGACTTGAGTGAGCATGTCCTTCACTGAGGCTTTCTCACTCTCCTCATCCCCATCTTCATCCTCGCTGCCACTGTCTTCGCTAGACACATCGCCAACTTTGGACGCTGCGTCTGTGTCTGCTTCGACAAGGTCATGATCTGGCTCTACATTGTGGGGTTTGTAATCCTGGATTGCCGTGCTCATTTTCAGGGCTGAGGACATCTTGGATATCTTGCTTGTTGTTCAGGGACCTAGAGAACTTCCCAAACCTTTTCCAACCATCATAAACGACACCAAGCAAGCAGATAATTCAATTCTCGGCATGTCACGCTTTGACTCAGGCAAAATCCAGGGACTCTGAAACCGACACCCCACCCTAATCTCCAGGGTCTATTCTGGTGCGTGTGATAGGGCCTCTAGGTTCCGCTTTGCAGGGGCCACGTCACTACCGGGTTCCATTCAAGCTGCCAGGGATTGTACAGCCCTGTAAGGATGTTCATAGCAAAAGGTCTTTGGACCTGGCCATGCGGTCAGCATATGCGGCTAGTATTGCGAATAGAGTTTGGAGATTTACGAGCCACGAGACTCACTACCAAATATGAGCATAAAATGCAGTGCTGGACTCGCCATGCCGAGGTTTATCAAGCATTAGATGGCCTCCTGGCAAAATGGTCCATACTGAGAAAGAAGACTACTACGATTACAGCGATGGAACCACTGAGTTCTTCGACGTAGACGCCCAACTAGATGCAACATCCATCAGCATCGGCCTCAATATATCCGCAGGGAAAAACAACGAGTTTCACACCCGCAATAACCCAGCGACGCCCTTTCAACGATCGACAATCACTGAGCGGCAAGGAATAACTCAAGTACAGTGCTTTTCACGCGAGATCATCCATGGCTACTTGTCACCAGACGGAAACAACGCGACCTTGCTTGTCTATGATCTTCATCTCGACACAACCAAGAAATCCCGGCGTATCCGCGAAGCTCAAGTCAAGTTCGAGTTTAAGAGCAGCAATCCAGGAGGCTCAGCACCCCAGATAGCAAAGGTCGCACCTCATGGAAGTGTCTCCCTGTTAGCAACATCTGCCGAAGAATCCAAAACTATCGGCTATGGACTATCGGCTGGAGCCAGCCAGTTCTTCAGCGTCGAGAGCTCGGCCAAATGGGAGAAGACGGTCAGCCAAACAAAAAACGACGCTGCCAGAGTAGCAGGTGGTTTTCTCTGCAATGACTACGGCAAGCAAGTGGGTGCTCAGTGGAGCCTTTTCGAGAACAGGCTAGTAGCTTCGGGCACACCGAGATTTATGCGCTTTGCGATTCTACTCGACAGGGACAACGACGAGGAGGAGTTTGAGTGCAAAGTCACCATCAATGCTAGTGGGGATTGGAAAACCGTGCTGGGAGGATTGGTTGGGTCTACGCCGCGCGATGATCCTATCCTGTTTGACCCGACTCTGCCGCCTACGAACAAGCTTCGCAAGGCTTACGATATCGAGAACCTGGCATCACTAGACTTGGATGAGTTTGTGGAGATCGAGTTTGATAAGCCTCTGAATAACATTGGGGGAGCACGAGGTTCAGCTTAACAGGCCTCGGCAGATCATAGTCGTTTAGGGCAGTAGAATTATGCACGCACGGGCCCGAGTGCCGTGAGGGATTTTATTCGCCTGATCCTTCGAATAGACTTCCAGCTTAACCACGAATGCTTCCTGTCATGTGCACCGTTGCACTATCGGCGGCTAATATACCTACACTAACTACTATGTGAATCATTTCAAGCCCTACCCATGTCGACCATAGTGACGGTGAGTCTCCACATTCCGCTTAGCACGGAGACAAGACATATTTCGCTGACTGGGATTGTTTCTCTGCGGAAAGTCGGATGAAAGTCAAGGAGGCATTCTTGGAACCTTGGTGAACTTTTTGAGAAACACTGCCAAATCTGACATGTCTGACTCGGAGTCCGTTTCCGGGTCCTCCTCGGGGGGTGGTGAGGTCCCGTCTCGACGTTCATCTGTGCAGCTTCAAGATGAGAGGCAAGTTGAGGATATCGACAGTACTGAGAACTCAAAGATACAGACGGAAGAGATATGTGAAAACATGAGAAATGAACCCCCGACTCTCAAGCTTACCCAACCGACGGAAGCTGACACCAAGACTGAAGTCTTACACCTTGTATGGCAAGAGTCGCCGTCAGACAGTGATACAAGTGCTCAGGCTGCTGAAGCACGACTTATAGAGTAGGTGTCGCACCAACGCCAGGCCTCCGATACTGATGATCTACAGTTTCATTGTTATACCTGGAGTGTATGCAAATTGGACTGACAAAGACTTTGGGCCAAGCCCTGGATCTGGAAGCTCAGCTTGGGTCACTAAATTCGCCGAGGAAGGCCGGGAGAAGCTCAAAAACGCTCACAGTAGCTGCCGCGTGTTTCGATTCGACTATGACTCTTCCGAAATCTTCTCTGGTCATAGGTCTCGAGAGGCAATCCATCGGGTTGCCTTAAGATTGCTCAATGGGCTACGCTCAAAGCGTTACGGCGAGATCAAGGTATGGGGTGACTCATCATCTTAACACTATTTTCAGTCTGACATGGAGACCTACATATAGAAACGTCTTATATACTTTATCAGTCATGATATCGGAGGTACTATCGTTAAAGATGCAAGTTCTGAGGCTTTTTGAAATGCTGAGACTTGTGTAACTTATACTGACCAAGCTTAGGCTCTCATTACAGCTTCCCTTGATAGGAGCTCATGGCAAGACATATCAGAGATGACACGAGCCTTGGTTAGCAGCCCGATGTATTATACAACTTACTTGATCTGACAAACTATAGGTCTTCAACGGCTGTCCACACCGCCAGAGAGACACAGTCGACCTGGAAACGAGGCTAGCTAGCTTTCTCTATAGCAACTACTCTCAGGACTCCGAAAAGCCACGACCTTCATTGGCACCAATATCAGGGCTCACCAAAGCTATTACCCAAGTGAATGGGCTCTTCGTAACTTCACATATCGCGCTGCGCAGCTGGATAATAAATTTGCACTCTCACGGACTAAACAGCAATGGGGTGAGTGGTTCAACATCAGATGCAGTGCCCTTATAAACCGAGACTGACTTGAGATCAGAGTTTCGACGCTTACTGCGCGACGCTGGGCATACCGTTGGAGAAAAGATTGACAGCACCAACCGGAACGGACTATTCTCCTCTTACTCAGTATCTTGCCAAGATAGAACCAGGTATGTTCAAGAGACTCTGTCACTGCTTAATGAGTATTACTAAGTGTCTTATCAGATGTGCGGGACCCGAAAGAGTCCATCGGAGCACGGCAATATTCCCAAGAGAGAAAGCTTCTTGCTCTGGCGTCTCCAGTCTATCCACTTCGAAACAAAGTTGAATCCAACCCCTTGGCCGATCTTCCAGCTTATCAATCCTGGCTGAACAGTCCTTGTCCTCAAATACTCTATCTCCACGGTAGCCACCGGGTTAGGGATATGGCCGAAAGCGTGTTTTATGAACTTGAGGATGAAGCCACAAGAGTGAAACGACGTGCGAACGTTCTCTACTTCTCTTTCGATAGGTTCGACGTGCGCGCGGATAGTATTCGGGACATGATAGCTACTTTCTTGGCGCAAATTTGTAACCATCACCCGAAACTCGGACCCGCTATAAATCGACTGTGCAGCCAGATCGAGAATGAAAAGGGATGGACTGAGACAGACCTGATTCAGTTCTTTGAGATGTTTAGAATTTCAGCGGAAGTCGAGCAGACAATGATTATTATCAATCACTTCGACGAGTGCACTAAGAACTCACGGAAGAGGTTTCTTGATCATATCACTGACAAGTATTACAATGATGAGACTCCCTGGAAGATTGTGGTTACAAGCCACGAGCCAAGTGCTTTGAGCGAAGAACTATCTGGTCCCTTCTGTGTGCCTATTGATATATCTTCCGAGGAGCTAGGGAATATCGCTGTGGATAGTTTCGAGGCCGACATCCAAGCACTGATAGGCTCAAGGGGGGATCTGAGTCTCAGAGACGAGCAGATCCGTGAGGAGCTGAGGTTTATGGAAAAGCTTAGTCCTCCAGTGCGCCATATCCTGCTTGAACAGCTGAGAGTTCGCGAAGAATGGCCCGAAGATATATCGACTGATGATATTCTTGGCTTATTGAGCCTCTCAGAACATGTGGCGGATGGCGACAAGCCTACATTATCTGTCCTGAATGCAGTGCTCAAGCAATACACCGACCGGAAGTCCCTCGAGTGTCTTTTCTCTTGGCTCCTATATGCCGTCAGACCACTCACAATCTGGGAACTTGCCACTATTACTTCTTTCTCAGACGAAAAGGAATGTACTAAAGTGTCTCCCAGTTTCATGGCTGTCGGCCGGCTTGTTGAAAAGATTGAGAAGGACTTTGCTGGTATTCTTGAGGTGAATCACAACGAGGTCAGGTTTAAATACCCATGCTTCCACGAAATCATGGTCAATGATGATGCTTCAGCACAGAACGCCGAAGATAAGGATTATCTATGGAACAAGATCAAAGGCAAAGCTCATCATCTCATCCAAAGCATGTGTCTGGACTACCTATCCAGATATGCTGTTCAGGAGTATGTCAGAGAGACCTTTGCAGTTGCAGACTCAGCAACCTTCGAGACACCACCCTTCCCAGACCGCACAAACCTTGCTTCATATGCTATACAGGCTTGGGCACATCACTATTCTCTCACCTCCCCTCTTCCAGACATATCCACCTTGTCATCGAAAAAGGACCTGGTTCAGACCCTCGCCAAAGCTCAGTGGTGTTTATCTAACCCTGCCACCAGACGCTCTCCCTGCTTCCAATCTCTGTTCCCAATCTTTGCTGGACTTGGCCTCCCTAATGTGGTGGAGCCTCTAGGTAGTGATGACGCGTTGCGAGGTCTTATCGAAGCAGCAAGCAAAGGACAGAAACAAGTGGTCGAGGATCTTCTTGGCGAATACGACTTTACGCCATTTGAGACATGGGATGTTCTCAAGGCCGCAAGCTCCTCTGGGAGCGAGGAGCTGATGAAGGCCCTGCTGGAAAAGATAGAGGCCAAGGGGAAAATACCTGACAACTTTGAGTGGCCGCCTGTTTTGATCTATCGGGCTGCCAATCTGGGTCTAGAGGGGTTTGCCGAAAGAATACTCAGTCTTGGATGTCCCGCAGATCCCGATGTCGATTGGAGAAACGAAACATCCATGCAAGCATCCCCTCTATATCAGGCCGCATGTCATGGGCATACAAATACACTCCGAGTTCTGTTGAAGTATGGCGCCAATATGGAGTACACCAGCCTGTCTGGAAGAAACCCGCTTCACAAGGCTGCCCTTGAAGGTCACACCGAGACTGTCAAAACCATTTTGGAAGAGTCACAGGTCAACATCGACTGTGCTTCCGAGTCAAACTTCACTCCCTTATATCTCGCAGTGCTTGGCGGTAACCACAGCACAGTGAAACTGCTATTGGAGAAAGGTGCAGACCCAGATATGGGCATCTTAGATTCTCACGCTGGGGATGATCAGTGGACGCCTTTGCATGCGGCGACTGATGACGGTTTCATGAAGTGCATCAGGCTACTTCTAGACTACAGAGCCAATCCAAACATTCCTGGGCCGTCTGGACCTCCTTTACATTGGGCAGTTACTCATGCCCGCGTCGATATCCTCGATATGCTTCTCGATGCTGGAGCTGATCCCTTGACTAAAGTCCTTAAGAAGCCTCTCTTAGTCACGAGCGTCGGGTCCGAGCTAAGGGAAGCTGGTCTCGGTATGCTGAAGAGACTTCTGGAGCTCAAACTAGACGTCAACTGTAAGGACGGTGAGGGTAGCACTCCGCTTGCCACTCTAATATACTCGTACGCAAACAAACCAGCGGGCGAATCTGTCCAAAGAGACAAAGCCTTGAGAATGCTGGTAGACCATGCAGCTGACGTCAATCTGGCCAGCGATGACATGTGGACACCATTACAATATGCAGTCATAAGGAAACAGTACAATGCGGTCGAAATGCTCCTGGAAACAGGTGCTGATCCGAACATAGCCTATAAAGAGAACGAGGCACCAATTTGCTCTGCGCTTGAGCAGTCCAAGATAGCCCGCCTGTTACTCGACAAAGGTGCAAACCCCAACGTTGGTTTCTCCCGCGGATTCACTCCCCTCACATACGCTGCATGCTTTGGTCACCAGGATGCGGTGGAGGTTCTCCTTGATTACGGAGCGACTGTTGATCTTGAGTATAGCTTTGGAGATGACGAGCCTCTTAACGATTGGCTTAAGGGCTGGACTCCTCTCATGTGCGCTACATTCCGAGGTCATCATGGAATCGTTCGAATGCTGGCTGAAGCTGGAGCGGAAATGAGTCGACGAGACAAGGAGACAGGGAGGTCCATCGTTCACCTTGCGTTAGTTGGCGGAACCCTTTCGACTATCTTGGAATTCCCTTCAAGGATTGATCTAAACGCGGTGGCAGATAATGGACTAGGAGTCCTTCACTATCGTGATCTTGAACTCACAGAGCTTAAGCAACTGGTCAACGCTGGAGCAGACATTGATATAGGAGCCGGAGAGAGACTTACCCCTCTGCAAGTATACGCTGGCTGCGACTTTGAAAAGTTGCAGTATATCGTCAAGCGTGGAGGGAATGTCAATCATCAATATCATTATCATGGCTCAGCCCTCCATCAAGCTTGCAGAGCCGGTCAATTTAACATGATCAAATTCCTTATTGAGCATGGGGCAAACTTGAACCTAACCAATGAATATCTGGGCACACCTTTACAAGCCCTATTTATTGCTGAAAATCCAATTGATACGCTGGAGCATGAAAGCATGGTCTGCTATCTCTTGTCAGGACACGAGAGCACACATGCGGACATCACAGTCAAAGCTGGTCTCTGGGGCTATGCAATCAACTCAGCTGCCTTTGGAAGTCTACCTCCCGTCATAAACCTCATTCTTGACCAGAATAACGCTAAAGTCAACGTCGAGGACGACATGGGTCGCATGCCCATGCATTTTGCGGCCTATAATGGCTTGGCCAACTTTGAGGCGGTTCTGGAGCGAGGGGGTGACATATATGCCAAGGATAAACAGGGACGTACAGCGTTACACTGGGCTGCCCAGACAGGAAGACTCCAAGTTGTCAAGAAGATCATCTCACTTATGGGTGCAGAGTTGGATGTTGATATCCCAGATATTGATGGTTGGACACCTCTTTGCTGGGCACCTCGTCACGGCTCAACACTCCTCAAGCCAGAAAATGCAGGAGAACCAGCACTTAGTGCTGATGTTGTGAGACTTCTCATTCAGAATGGGGCTAAGAGAGATGTCATAGTTAAACAGGGAGAAGAGACGTGGACTCCCCTGAGCATTTCTCGCTATCACAGAAGTGATCCAGATGTTGTATCATTACTGGATAGTTGCGGTTCAACGGATGCGGACGATAGCGAGAACACGTCCGAAGTGGCAGAGAAGAAGTCGAAAGCTTCATCAAGGCTAGGAGTGCAACAGGAAGATTCCTCCTGTGATTATTGCTTATCGGTTAGTACTTGGCATTCTTCACAAACATCAGCTAACCTCGATTTCTAGCGCATCTATGGGGTGTATTGGGTTTGCAATACTTGCAAATGGTTGTGCTTCTGCCATAAATGTTACCAGCACGCTGATATTCTTCATCCGGGGCATGACAACTTTACACAAAATGGTGAAGAAGAATTTGAGGGGGGTGAACAGGACGTTTCAGCAACAACCGCTTCTGGCTCCTCAGACACATATTCCACCTCTGATTCTGACTCTGATTCTGGTTCCAACCATTCAGAAGCCGTGGAGGATAATGAGGATAGTTCTTAGAATGGATTAGCTCGAAGGGAACGAAGAGCTGTGGGTCTATGTGATGTATTCCTTCAAATGCCCACGGGACACCAATGACAAAACAATCTTACGTAAAGGTTGATTGATACAGCAGATAACCAGCTCTACACTCATGGTGATCGTGTCCGATGCTCTACCGGCTGGAGTTCCTTGAGATCCACTAGCCAGCAAATCTCCATCCTTCAGGCTCACCAGCTGCATCCTCTGCAGCTTTCAAGGCCTTGTTCTTCTTAGCCACGTACCACTTTGTGATGAGAACAAAGACCACAACCAGACCACAACCTGTAATGATGACGCCGCCTCCGGTCTGATAGTAAGGCTCTTGGTTTCGGAGGAAGAAATATGGTGTGAACCAGTGAGAAACAGACGAAACACAGTTGGCATAGGCGATGAGGGCAGCACGCTTTGTACGAGGACGAGGGACGACGGTTGTCTCCCAAGAGATTTGGATCTAAATAGATTAGTAAAGGGTATTGCTATGAATGATGAAATAGGGGACAGAGCTTACGTTAAGACCAACGAACGGACCAACGACGAGCAGGATCATGCAAAAGTATCGGGCGCCGACATTGAGAGTGGTGATCATGACAGCGCAGCCAATCAGGGTAAGAAGGATAGGAACGATGATGTGATAACCGTGTTCGAGTCGTCGACCAGAGGACCAGGAGATACCCATCATGACAATGAAGGCAATGATAGGAGGTGGGGCCTGAATGAGGTAGGTGGTAGTACCAGAGAATCCGAGGGTGGCGACGATCTTGAATCAGTTTTAGTACACGATTCATAGTTGAACGAAGAGCGACAAGTTACTTACGGAAGGGAAGAAGTCCTTGTAAGATTGTGCGATGATCAAGAAGAAGTGAATGGCCGCAAAGAGATGGGCGAATGGCTCCTTCATGCACATCCAGAAACCATCCCAGTAGCCACCAGCATCATCTTCAGCAATTCCACCAGCAGAAACAGTCTGACGGTATTGAGCCATAGCGGCCTCTTCCTCGGTGATGAAGTATGTGCCCGTGGAGTCAGGGAAGTTGGGGATGAACCAGAAACTCACGAGAGCCACCAAGATACTAACAGCACCTGGATGAACAATTAGCGATGTAAACTGTATTCTCATGCTTGACGACATACCTTCGAGAAGCAAGAACCATTTCCAAGCTCGGAGATTTGCGACGCCCTCCATGTTGGTCAAGATACCAGCAGCCAAAAGACCCGAAAGAGCCTGAGAGATGGTATTCCCTGCATGCCAGATACCCATCCTCATAGGGGACTCATGCTTGGTGTACCAGGAAGAAGTCATGAGAGACACAGCAGGCACAAAGGGTCCTTCAGTAAAGCCAATGAGGAAGCGGCAGAGACAGAAGCCCCATCCAGCAGTAACAGCAGGCATACAGATAGTCACAAAAGACCAGACAAGCATGCAGCTGGGGAGGAGGATTCGAGGGGTTCCCTTTGCGAGGATAACGTTGGCGGGGATCTGAGAGAGGATGTAGCCCACGTAGAACATGGAGATACCCGTAGACCAGACCGTATCTGTCATGTGAAGATCTTCCTGCATGCCTGCGAGTCGAGCGTTGGAGACGTTAATTCGATCAAGATAGCTGCATCAGTTAGTAAGAGAAATATCGGTAGGGATAGAATGACTGACTTCATCAAAAGCATGGCCGTGACCATAGGGAGGAACTTCCAGTCGAGTTTGCGAACGAGAGATTTCTCAATGGCAGCTCGCTCCTCTGGAGTCTTGTCCTTGATGAGCGGATATCGCTCGAGGATCTCATCTCGCACGGGAGCGACCTCCTCATACTCGACATCTCGTTTGATGTCAAAAGACCCGGGTTTTGAGTGGACGGAGCCCGTCATGTTGATAGCAGAACTATGTCTCTCACAAAGATTTCAGGAACAACTCAGCAGTGTGAAAGGGTAAATGATGAATGACGAGAGAGTGCTGCTGATCGATCATTCCCAGAGCCATGGGTATCATACACTTTTATATATCCCAACTCCCAACCCAAGCTGGGTAAGTTCTTCCAAGAATGCCAAGATCCTGTTGTCCTTTTCGCTCTTCCATCCGAGTTTACTACCGCGGTCACCCCGCATCCCCGCGTTTGTGGAATAACCTTGGAAGATAGCGTTCAACGTTCGCGGGGGCTAGCGCTCGGACTTAACCCGTCGGCTACAGTCCGCCAATAAAACTTCATGATTCGGGACCGACGGACTTGGCCCGAATTCAAGTCTGGGGGTTGGGTGATCAAAGCGAGTTGCTGATTGTTCCTGATGAGGAATAGCGTTGCACCATACGACGCAAATGACTTGGGATTTCGGGGGGGATGAATTCCTGGTGAGTCTGCTGGTGTTAACCATATTTTAAGCATATCTACTTTGGGGAAAGTGAACTTACCTGCAGGCTGCCCTGTCCTTCCATCATCTTGGTAGACAGTGATAGGAGGAACTGCTGGAAGATGCTCAATGCGGAGAACTTGGATGAGCACTGCGTTAGAAGTATAGATGCTTTGCTCACTACTTCAAAGGTCTGTGTCAAGCCTGTCTGGTTCGGCTGTGGTGCATTCTGAACGAGACAAACGTACGCCACAGCAGCTGCCAAGATATCATATGCGTCTAGGAAAGATACCGCGGTGCCACTCCCAGACCTGTTATAGAGTTTCTCTATGAGTGCCTTGCAGCAACTAATCGTATCGGCTTCCACCTCGCTGTTACTCTCAGCATCGATGTCGGAGTTTGTCAGGTTCTGGTTGCTTGGTCTGACCATCAGGATAAGTGCCCGGCATGCTAACTGTTCCAGGTAGTCGAACTGAGGATTTGTTGGGGTAGTAGTGCCTCCGTTTTGTGGGGGAAACTCTCGCCAAAAGCAGAGGTTGCTGTAGGAAAAGAGTGGTTTGGGCCGGTGACTTCCAAGTACATCTGAGATAAGCTGTGCATGGGTGACAAGATGCTTGCTCAAAGCGAGTTTAGCTCTGACTGGCCCTGAGGCAGTCTCATCTTCTGTTATGTCTGGTATCTACTTTGTCGTCAGCTAGTTCACGTCAAGTCTCACTGGGCATCATACCGCGACTGAGATGTCAACCTCAGTAATAGTAAACGGTCTACCCATCACGGATGATAGAGACCTACAGTATTTGTCAGTTCGATACATTAACCTAGGACATTGAACCTACCTATCCCAAATATACACACTCCAGAATAACCACTCGACTCGATATGTGTATTCTGTATCCGATGTGTTCCTTGGAGGTACAGTCTTGTGGAGACCAGCAGCGATGCAGTTCGTCATGATGAAGCCCATGAGATGCCATGTTGATCCACCCGAGGCACTAAACATTGAGAAGACGGCAAGCAGAAGCATGCAGTGCAGGGTGTCCAGAGGCTCTTGAGAGTGGAGAATGAATGGTAGTAGCTTCACAGCTGCACCATGCAGATTAGTGGCCAGTGAGGAGAGGCGACCAGAATCAGATGACATGCTGATGCCTATTGCTATAGCTAGGTATGTGTTGAAGCGAGGCAGTGCGATTCTAGTTGGATCAATCCCTTGGTTGCTCGTCTCCAGAACAGCCTCATACTGCTCAAACAAGCGGTTCTCATCAATATGAGGGAGCCAGACGCTCCAGTCCAGAAACTGCTGGAAGTGACTCAGTGTCAGGTCGCGTGTGAGTGGGATGAGCTGGTCATCTGTCACATACACCGGTTGCGACGATGATGCTTTAGAAGGGTCACGGCCATCTACAGCCAAAGCTGCTGATATCGACTCAATGATGGCGAGTTTGTGTGGCTTATCGCCCGTATTCGTTCGAGACTCGGCCATTGCCTTGTTAGATAAGAGGCCGATGGCGCTCATTGTGTCTTGGACACTTGACTGCTCCTCGCCATTGGCAGCGGTCTGTTCATTCACTGGGGCAGATGAGATAGATCCATAAATTGAGCGTCGGCGTTTGCCATTGATGGGCGAAACAGCATCTGCTGTGCCAAAAGACGTATGTCTGGCTTGAACATGTTTTTGCTCGGCAACCTTTATCTTTTCTTCAAGTTCAGCAACACGACGTCTTAGAGACTCGACGTAACTAATAGCATTAGTAAATTATATGTAAACTGTGAACTCGCCGCTATCACATACCCGTTGACTCTTGCATGCGTCAAAGTAGTATCCTCAGCATTAAAGTCAAACTGCTGAGACCGAGCAATGCACTCTACACCAAGATCTGCACAGGAAGTACATGCCGGACGCAGTCTATCGCACTAAGACAAATTAGTAAACCCCCCAAAATGCCTGATAGTGACAAGCATCACCTTCTGTTTCCGCTTGAAGCACCGTTCACAAGCGAGACTGTTCTTCTGCGGAGGCTGGGACTGTGACGAACTGGGGCTGCTGGCCCGTGCAGGGCTTGGGAGTGAGACGCGGGATAGTTCGCGCCAATCACTTGACATTTTGCATGTTTCTTGGATTGATCTGGAGGCGGAGAGAGATACGACACGGAGTGAGCCCGAGGGACGCGTTTGATCGGAGGGGAAGCTGGGGAAGACCCCAGATTTATCGGACTTGATCCTATAGTCACGTGCGGTTTGATCGAAAGTGGTCTAACTTAGTCTGGACGAGCTCCTACTGGGGCATGATGCGGAGAATTACACTTGGAATTAAAAAAACAAAACGACTATCTATAAACTATTTTGCGTATACAAGAAGAACTGGTTCCTTATGCTGCAACTGGGATGCCATTGGTGGCCCCATTTGTGATGCCGTTGCCATTCGTGACAGCCCCATTCGTCGTCCCGTTGGTGACACCACTAGTAGCCTTCTTCTCTACAGAGTGACCATTTGCCTGTTGTGACTTTACAACCGAAGCATTCAACGCAGCCATCTCAGTACCTCGCTTGGTAGCAGCACCGAGAAGTAGAGGACCATCAGTCGCAGCCATGACCCAACGAGCTCCCATCTTACAGAACTTCTCTACAAGATCAAGACGAGCATGAAGACCACCAACACCCAGCCACTTTCCATGCTTCTTACAAGCAGCGATGGTACGTTCGTAAGCCTCAGTAACACGAGGGTTCTCGTAATCTCCAGGAATGCCCATCTCGGCAGTCAAGTCATTTGTACCAATGAGAAGAGAGTCAACGCCAGGAAGAGCGGCAATCTCATCGACTAGCTCAAGAGCCTCAAGGGTCTCGATCATGGGGATAACCATGGTAGCGGCGTTTGTGACAGGGTTGGAGACCTTGGCGGGGATGGAGCGGAACTGATGATGGGGAAGACCGTTTGTGGAGGAACGGTGACCAATGGGTTGGAACTTGGCTGCGTTGACGACGTCTTGAGCGTCTTGCACAGAACGAATGTGGGGAACGATGATTCCGAGAGCGCCGCCGTCCAGAATTCTTGAGACAAAGAAAGGGTCTTTGCTGGGGGCCCGAACGATGGGGGAGATGCCAGCGTAGAGAGCGGCGACGCAGAGTTGGTTTGTAGTCTCGAGATCAAAGGAGGAGTGCTCCATGTCTACGAGGATGCCATCGTAGCCGGCTGTCTTGGCCATGCCGGCGATTTCGATGGACTTGACGAGCTTGATGCTCATTGTGTAGGCGACTTCATCGCGGAGGAGCTTCTCTCGCATGGGGTGGGGAATAGGTGCAGCCATTGCGATAGTATTGGATTGATTGAACGAGTTGGTCTGGTGTATTGGAGTAAGGTGATAGTGGGTATTGATTGGGGATTGGAGATGCTGGTGATTGATGAGGATAGAAGCGGTCAAGGTGGTTTGTCCCACGTATTAATATACACCTCTCCAAGATCACAAAGAGTCATACTTCTTCCTCAAGACTCAGATGCAGGATAAGTCCTTCTCCGCGTCCGATCTCGTTCCCCCATCAATTGCCTCCACGCAAATTCGAGGACGGAAGCCGATTGTTGGAGCCGAGAAGATCGTGGGGTCGGAGCGGGGCCGCATGCGACTCCGAAAAGTCATCGGACATTGTCCATCTCACATCGGCATGAAGCCTACGGATAACGGATGCCGCAAAACGGAACAGAAAAGAGAAATGATTCACCGGTTTGATCCCGCGGGAGTCACAGGAGCTGGAGTTCGCCTCGAGGGGAGATACATAAAAGTTCAAGACTTGAGCCTCTTGTTCTCCAGACAAACACTACCCCACAATCATCACTTTGCATCAGAACTCTCACCTCATTCACCATGGCACCAAGCGCTGTAACAGACACTCCACCAGAGAGTCTCTCTCCTGGGAAGCCAACAGTCTATGTCATGGACTCATTTCATCCTCAAGTTATGGCATACTGCCAAGAGAACTTCAACGCCATTACTCCCGATAACCCCAAGCACAGCCAATGGAGGCAAGAAGCACGCTACCTCCTCATGAGATCCTCTCGCTTAACTGCAGAGGATGTCAAGGCATGCCCTAACTTGATCGCCATCGGCAAGCAAGGCGTTGGCATTGACAAGATTGACGCTGATGCCTGCGCTGCTCGGGGAATCAAGATCTTCAACACTCCCGGCGTGAATGCCCGTGCAGTCGCCGAGCTTGTCTTGACGTTGGCTACTGCATCTGCTCGCCAGGTTGGCTCGATTGTTGCCAAGCAGTCTTCGGGTATCCTTGTACCCAAGGAGAAATGTTCCGGCTTGATTCTGCATCGCAAGACGATCGGCATCCTTGGCATGGGCAATATCGGTAAATGCGTCGCCAGTATCTTCAGAGGCGCTTTTGAAGCAGATGTTATTGCCTACGATCCTTTCCTCCCTGCCGACGCTTGGGCCGATATTTCTCATCAGCGAGCTAGCTCTGTTGAAGAGGTTCTGGAGTCTTCGGATGTCATCACTGTTCACATGCCTCTTACTCCACAAACAAGAGACCTCATTAGCTATTCTGAGATGAAGAGGATGAAGCGAACAGCTATTGTCATCAACACTGCACGCGGAGGTATCGTCAACGAGCATGATCTCAAGCGCGCATTGTCTGAAGGTCTCATCTGGGGTGCTGGTCTTGATTGTCATGAGGAAGAGCCACCAAGCTATGAGAGGTATCACTCACTTTGGGAGGTTGGAGCTGTTAGTACGCCTCATATTGGAGCTGCGACGGCGGAAACGCAGATGCAGACAGGGATGGCGGCGGCGAGATATTTGCTGGAGTTTGCGCTAAACAACCCATGATGTAGCAGGGTTGGTAGTTATAGATTGCTCACTGAGAAAACACGATTAATAGTTTAAATGTCACCATCTTTCTCTTTAATTAAAACTCAAAGCCGTCCCATACACTGGGATTCGTAGGATCGCCATAAACATACTGGCCCAATGCAGACTCCATATTCCACAACGAATCATAGTTCAACAGCGCCCAATTTACCGACGATCCATCTTGATACTCCTCAGATATATCGTTCCCATCTTGTCCTGGAACAGCAAACTGGCTCACCGGGTCCATTAGGCCCGATCGCGACTGCAAACCCTGGTCGAAGAACTGGCGATTCGCTGAGAAGTCTGGCATATTTCCCAAGGAGTTGGGTAGAGTATTTGGACCCAGGTCTGGAGAGAAACTTCGCCCGTTGAAGGTGCTCATATCATTGGAGAAGCCCATGGCTGGATCAACTGGGAGGCTGACGGGCATATCTCGCACGTTCGGCCACAGCCGTTGTGATACGTCTCTGTGTAGAGCTTCAAAGACAGACACGTAGCTCTTTGCGTCCGGGAGCTGTCGGGCAACGCTATTCAACAGCTCTTGACATCGGAGTAATCCCTTATGAGATGCACGCATGTCTTCCAGAGTAAGCTTCTTGGATACGGAAATGCAGTACATGACCGACAACGCAGCTGTGAAGAGCATGTGAAAGTAGCTTCGTGTATGCGTCATCATCTCTCGCTTCTGGCATATGATGTGATATCTCTCAATGGTCTCCAGCGCTGATCTGAGAAAGACTGTCAGGATTTCTTTCGGTGGAGATCCATTGACCTTTGGGACAAGATCGATTGCACGACGGAGGACAGATAGTCTCTCACGGGCAATGAGCAAGTCATACCACTCTTGTGTTTCGTACAGACAGCTCGGTTCCTGTATGATAGGGTTGCTGTTTCTCCAATCTTTCAACTCCTTGAACAGCTTTGTCATGACAACGTGAATGTGACCGGCGAGCAAGTGCTTTGACCTGGTATTAGAGATCTTGCGCCTCAGCTTGGAGAATTCAGTCTGTATATGAGACGATATCTGCCTCAGCCGCACAGAGATAAAGAAGACGGTCATTTCGTTTTGAACATTGGGTTCCCGAGTGTAACTGAACGAGTCGAGGCTTTGCACATTCTGACTGGCTGCTTCGAGTTCCTCGTCGCTGACTTCAACTGGGAACTTTGTTTCAATGTCCTCGTCGTCAATCAAGAATGGTCGGTCCAAAGTCGTTGAACTATAGCGATCGATGAGATAGAACTGCCAGAATACTCTCCGTCTCAACTGTGTTTGTAGTAGATCACCATGAACATCTGTGCCGTTATGGAGGCCGAGTTCGATGCAGAGACGTCCACAGAGCCGAACGACGTCCCAGATGGAAGTGCCTATCAAGCCAATTCATCAGCATAATATTCGTGTGTTCAAATCAGGCTTTGCGTACCAATTGGATGGTAGATGCCGAGTCTACATATCAGCAGAAGATCTTGAACAGAGTCCAGACCCCGGGTCAAAAAGTCGCCACCGAGATGCTGTAGAGCTGCGTTGTAGTATGCTTCTGGGTGTCGATGATGAAGCTTGTTCCGATATGGTAAAACTGCCCCAATGGCACATATCATGAAGGCTCTGAATAGGTCATGGCTTGAGGCTTTGGCGGAGGTGCCCTGACCATTGAAGAGACGTTGATGCAGTGCCCAGATACTTCTACGGAGGAGAAATGGATTTTGTATGTGTGCCCAACTCAAGCTGCAGTATCATTAGTCAATGGCTCAAGATTGGATGGTGTAACGGACTATTTTTCGAACAGCATTTGTGTCTCTACTGCAGATGGCAGAGAGCACGGCGATATCGAGACTTCATCAGTACCTGGTGCATCAGCCAATGTTCTGAGTAAAGTCGCATGTGACTTTCTCCAGTTTGCGTCAGAGAACAAATGCGCGATGAAGCTATCAGCAAATATTAGCTGACACTTCCTTGAGGAGTATCACTGTGACACAAACCTCAGGCTTGCGCCCTCGCGTGTAGCGGGAGAAGATGCTGCTATCGACCTCACGGTATGCCTGTCATCTGGACTCGAGGTATCCACCGTGCTTGGGTCAGTGACTGCGATTGACTCAAGTTCTTGAAGCCTGTTGGACAATTCATGCTCTCTTCTCTCGAGCTCATCGATCATGCTGTGTTGTAGCCAGTGTCAGAATGGGTAAGATGAGGCGTTTCAGAGACCTACGCTCTCGACAATGGGCCATTATTGTCGGAGTCAATACACGCAACGAGACATTCCTGCCCATTCCGTGTACAAAGAGAGCAACTTGGCCTATTATTGTCACACTGAGATATCTTCCGTCAGCAACTCAATTGAATGTGCACGTACCGAGTCTAACCTTTGTTTTCTTCTGGGCGCAAGATTGACAGGCTGGGAGTCTTGGAAGACGCGACATCCTCTTCCTTACGCGATTGGCTGGAACCAAAGCTGGGGTTGTTGGAAAGCAAAATCTGGGGAGCCACCTGGTATAAATGCTCCAATAATGACGAGTCTACGGAAATGGAGGGGATGTGTCACGTGCTACACCCCGCAAACTGTTCACCAGAATAGGAATAGGTCAGGTTTAACCAGTTTTGAGATTCGAACTTTTGGTAAAGCTGAACAATTAGTGACAAGACTATCAACCTAGAAGCTTCCCTATAGTAATCCCATCCTAAATTTTCTCTTTTCTAGATACTTAATATCTGTTCTCAACATGTTTTGAGACTACAGACTCCTGATCTTTCATTTCAGGCTCGAGGATCTCGCGAGCCGCAGGCTTCAAATCATCAGCAGTGGGGTAGGCAATCTTATGCACCGTGTACCAAGGTCTCTCAAACAATTTATCCATGCTCTCCAAAGACCGACCGGAGGTCTCAGGCATGGCAAAGTAAACATAAACAAGAGAGACAGTGCAGATGCTAAGGAAGAACATGAAAGCTCCATAACGCTGAGTCGCTGCCAAGAGGGACGGCATCGCACGTGAGCAACCGAAATACATGGCCCAATGAACAGCCATAAGGATGGAAACGTTGATAGAGCGAATTCTGAGAGGAAAGACTTCGGCTGAGACGAGATAGGGAATGGAGAACCAGCCGATGGACCAAGCGATGGCATGGATGTAGATGGCTGCGATAGCTGCACGACTAGCCGCCATGGCAGATGAGCTTGCCTCAATCTTCTCGGGAGTCCAGCCATTAGTGACTTTAAGGTAAGCACCGACGAAAGCCAGAGTGAAGATCTGCATGGTGATACCCGTCATGAGAGAACGACGTCTACCAATGAAGTCGATGACAAACACAGAGAAGATGAGGACAGAAACAAACTTCAAGATGGCATAGCAGCCAGTTGCAAGGAAACGAGCCTCAGTGCCCTCAATACCCAGGTATCCAAAGATAGTAGGACTGTACTGAGTGATGGCGTTGGCGCCTGACCACTGTCCAAAGACATGACAAGCAAACATGAGAACAAAGCGTCGTCGGTTAGAAAGATCCGTGAATGTCTCCTTGATCAAGTCCCAAGTATTGGCACCAGAAACAATCTCAATCTCATGATTCAACTGGCTCTCAATACCCTGAAACTCAGATTGAACATAAGGATGATCTTCTGGAAGTCCTCGGAAGCGAGACAGCGTGGCCAGTGCTTCTGTTCTCTTGTTCTGGCTGAGCAAGAAGCGGGGAGTCTCGGGCGTGAAGAATGTGCCGACACCCCAGATGAGAGCTGGGATGAGCTGAAGTGCGGTAGGGAGCTGCCATTGCAGGTTGGTTCCGGCGTGGTATTTGGTGACACCGTAGTTGAAGAAGAAGCCGAAGACGACGCCGAGCTGTTGACAGCAGGTGTATTGGAGAGTCAAGAGACCACGGATAGGTTGAGGTGAGATCTGAACAAAGTTACGCGTTAATCGGAGACCGTAAAGAGTCAAAGGGAAGTCATACCTCTGCGATGTAGACCGAAGGCAAGACAGTTGTCGCGCCAATGCCAATACCAGCAATGACACGAGTGGCATAAAGAGCACCAAGATTTCCACTACTGAATGTCTGACCAAAGATACCAGCCATGTAGACAACAGTGAAAAACTGAAAGGTACGCGTTCGGCCAAGGCGCTGGGTGAGCCAAACACAACCCAGACATCCAAAGACAGCACCAGCCGTAGCGATAGCCACGATCCAGCCTTTTGTGTTTGCATATTCATGATCGGTCTGGTTATCAATTCCGAAGCGCTCTTTGAAGACCTCCATGATGACGAGAGAGGCGATGTTTCCTGTGTCAATGCCAGTGGTTAGTTGGAGTTGGCGGTGGATGGATGTGAGACTGACCTTCATCGAAACCCTTGGCAACACCAGAGAAACTCCAGATACAGGTACACGCGAGGAGATACCAGTTGAAGATCTCCTTGGGACTATCTTTGATGGCCCGTCTCGTGGCCTTGATCATATTTGGTCTCGCCATGTTGAGCTGAGTGTACGGGTGAATTGCAGGAGAACGAGAGGGAAGAGGACAAGAGCTTGAAGCTGAGGAAACGAGATTATGAGCAGGAGAAAGGGGGTGAATTATATGCTGCCCAACCTCGCTGAGAACCCTTCCCCAGAGAGTCAACGGGGATCGCCGACTCCAAGCGTGGAGAAAAAATGTAACGCTCACGTCGCGGAGAAAAAAGGCGGGGATAATCTTGGTTCCCCGAGATTCGAGTCTTCCCCAGACCTCGGAGTGGGCCCCTTGTTTAGCGTGGAGTCAAAGTGTCGTCGGAGCATGTCCTAGTGCTATCGGGCTGGACCCGGAGGAGGTTTCGGAGCGTAGATTTGGGTAACTTGCTGATGAAGATGGGCTACCCCTCGTCATGAGTCAATGACAGTGTTAGATTCGGGAACGCCCCGGCAAACGATCCGGTAAGTTGCGCCGACTGACGGAATGTGTTGATCTGGCGCTCGTCGGTTTAGTCAGAGTGTGCGGAGATGATACCAAGTCATGAAGTCGTGGACGAACTGACATTGAGGAGTACGGTGAGGGTGTTATGAAACTGGCGCTCAGACTGTTGGTCGAACTGTGCAGATTGCCTCTAGGACGCTACCATGAGCCTAGACTTTCGGGGCATTGCCTTGTTTTGAGAAAGCACAATGGGATCAGAGGCTTCACAGTATCTCGTGGTTCATGAGACAAGGGAGATGACCGTATTTGTTAAACACCTAGATCAAACATACCTAGGTGTCTAACAAATAAATTGTGATGCGGTGTTAGATACAAAATTATCGTCATTACTACTCTTTGCTTTGTTTCAGCGCCGGTGCAGCTACAGCTCCCCGACAATGCCAATCCACCGTCTGAATATTCCCCTCCAAGCTATCAGTAATGAACAAAGTCTTATGCTCCGGCCCCCCAAAACAACAATTCGTTAGATTGATCCCCGGCGACCCACTAACAATTCGAGCCTTGGGTATCCCGTGTGTATCCACCACAAAGACAGAACCAAGACTTGGATGACAGATAAACAAATTACCCTCCTCGTCAAGCGCAAGACCATCAGGGCCCGCGTTGCCAAAAGACTGGAAGAACACGCCGGCTTTGGAGGTAGTGCCGTCTGCGTGTAATGGTAGGCGCCAGACTTGGTTTGCCCGTGTCATGGCGACGTAGAGAAAGCGCTCGTCTCGTGAGAGAACGAGACCATTGGGTGAGGGCCCATTGTCAAGCAAAGTGTCGAGTCTTCCATCTGGTGATAAGCGGTAGACGCGACCCGTTGGATCTGTCATACCTGTTTGGCCTTGGTCCGTGAAGTAGAGATTGCCCTTTGAGTCAACGATCAAGTCATTGGGCCCCTTGAACCGCTCGAGATTCTTTCTCGTCAACTTTGGACCAATCTTGCCTGTCTCTGGACTAAACGACAGTATACCCTAAAGTAATTAGCATAACTCATAAACTTAGGGACAAATGCATACCTGTTTGTAGTCCGCTACCAACAAATCCCCATCAGCAGTCCCCACGAGCCCATTCGGCTCGCCATCCCAAGTGCACGCAACACTGACGTTCTTGTCGCCATCAATTTTAAGGATACGACCGTAAGGAACATCCACGACATAGAGATTTCCAGCGCTGTCGACAACAGGTCCCTCAAGGAAGATGTGCTGGAACAACCCCGCAAAGCCTCCGCGCCATTCTGACTCTTGGTCCAAGCAGCGCTTATCGTCTGGGATGCGCAGGTAAATTTCTGCTTTGATGACGGGGGGCGCAGGGTAGAAGTTCATTTTGGAGGATATGCAGAGCTTGGCTGAAGATGGCGGCCGTAAGATGCCGTTGGAATATTTTATAGGCGCTTGGTGTTGAGCTGTTTTGGGGTAAGCTGCTGTGCGGAGGAACTCCGATGGGTCTGGTGCTATGGCTTGAGGATTAGTCAGGCTTGAGGGTACGTTGAAGACCCAACCACTTCACGCAGCGGCATCACCAATGTCCTCTGATGGCTGTTTCAATAATTTGGCCTAGCTAAAACTGTAGTCAATACCACTGAAATATAAGAATCACTTAGGTGTCTTTAATCAGGATTTGAATATGTATTTGCTAATAAAATAGCAATAATTTGTATGGTAGTTTGGCTGGAGAAGGTCAGAAATGGAAGCCATTGGTTCCCCATTCGTCCTGGCGTGCCTGCTTCAAGTCTACAGAGGTGTTGAGTCCATAGTCCTGACACATGGCGTGTATGCAAGATTTATCACCCAGATGGTCCACATGGTAGGCGATACATCCTTGGTCGAAGCTTTCAAGCTGATCTTTGTCTCCTCTAGAGAAAAGAATTTCTGCCGCCCTTCAAGCATACAGGCGATTAATTCTCCAGGAGACAGTGTTTTCTGGATTAAGAAGAACCAATGAAAATAATTCTTTGCCATGTCTGAATACATATCCAAAGTTGGGACAATATCAAGCAGGATAACATTTCTCACGCGTTAGGGACAGTCGACACAGAGCTTATGAGTCACTCTTGCACCACAGTCATGGGCGCAGACAAAAAAGGTCTCAAAGTCGAGTGTCGCTACAACATTGGACGAGTCGCGAGGCATTAAACTCTTTGCATAATGCGACACTAGGTCCGGCTTGGAGGATTCGCCGTATCTATGAAGGTCCATCAACACAATGCCATATATTTACATGAGGGATGGGACCACAATGTGCCGAAAATAATGGATTTCGTCGGTGAAGCAGCCATGTAGTCGAGTAGCGGGGAAAAGGCTTTAGATCCCTCTCTGTCACTCTTCTTGCCAAAGATTGTAATAGGAGGATCAGACTGCACCCCGACGGATGAGACAATGTCTTGGTACCTTGACAAATGATATTATTTGATTAGAAAGACACTCTCAACGATACCCAATTTGGTACAACTTGTGCAATTGTCTTGCTATACCGGGTTATTTCCATGATCAAAGTGGCAGGTTGCCATAACTGACCCTCCAACCGATGAAGCCCCTGCAGCTTGGACTTCGGCCCTTGTATTTGACCGTTAACCAAAGTGGCTATGATGTTGACTGGGACATCTATTGCCAATTTCGCGTGGTGGCTGTCCAGCTGGCCGCAACAATTAGTTGATGGCAGTTTTCGGGTTTGATGCAGACCCCGTGAAACTCCCAAAATGGCTTGCTTGACCGGTTGCACCCATAGTCTACCCTCCTTCAAGTTGGGCAAATAATTTAAACCTATTTCAATTAACATATGTGATAAACTGCTAGGATAAACTACACACACCAAGATGAGGAGGAGCCAAAAATAAGAGACGAAAGATGATCTCCAATTTATGTAATAAACGACGTTTAAAAGAGACTCCTCGTGATCGGCCATGGAATCGAGAATCTGCAGGCACCGACCTGCCTTACAGAAGACCCAAGGACTTTGGAAAATTGGGGCGGTTACCTAGTTGTAGTTTTAATGCTGCAAACTACAGTCTATCATTGCTCGGTTAAAAGATGATTACCCATGTTGTTTATATAAGCAGACACATGCGCCCACCGGTAAACCCACATTTTGTTCTAGGTAACGAATAAGAAAATAGGCCCTTGACTGGGCGCGGGGAATGGTACGTCTTAAAAGTTTAATCACCTCACCTTCCATTCTTACAACCCTATCTCTTGTGTTTTGGGTTGCCAGGCCTACCAAACGTCTATCAGTGCAACATTTCACGCTCTTCTTTTCTACTAATTTTCTCATTTATTTGTCTTTTGACCATCGCTATTGAGCTCAAATTTAACTAAAGGGTAGCGCCGAGCGTCGTCTCGGCGCACTCGTTATCACTTGCAGTCATGATGATCATTACCAAGAACCATTGACGAGCGGCATCGCTGACCTACAATGGTGGATCAACACGGGGTATTGGGATCACGACCCTGATATGCCCTTGCCTGTTGCTGGGGACGATACGATTCAAAGTTTTGCTGGAACTGCAACGTGTTACGAAGCGCCATCCTTTAACGACACATCGCCAGCAGTTGAGCACTACCAGTCTGTTGAACCCGACAACGCGCAAGTAAGACTATGCCTACTTCCTGGTTCTCTTCAACCTTCATTTGTCCATAATCCTGTTTCCATATTGGAACCACCGTCTCCGTCAACACCCACAGCGGCCTTATGCGATAACTCAAGTTCTTTGAGCTCCACCGCAATTGTTCCATATGGATCAAGAGCTTCGCCACCGGCATTGTCAAGGCCTGCCTCCCGACCATGTGACTTTTGCGGGGCACTCTTTGACAACGCCGCCTATCTCTGGTATGTGTAGCCCTTCTGTTGTATTATGACTGAATTTTAACATATTATAGCACTCATATAGTTTTACACCATTCTCCCTCAAAGCCATTTCATTGCGGAAGAAGGACCTGTGTGGCCCTTGGTAGCAAGAGGTCCCTTGAACGGCACTTGACGAATGCTCATTTCTGTGCGGTATATATCTGCTGCTGTGGATACTCGAGCCGCAAAGATAAGCATTGTGATCATTTACGAAGATGTGCATACGCGGGCAACAGTTACCGGTGTAGATGTGGACATGCCGAAAACAACAAGCGTGCACACAAAGTTCACATTGATGAATGCGGTAAACGAAAGAAAGGCAGACCAAAGAAACAGAAAACGGATAGTGGATAATTTTGGATCCGAGAGTAGCTCCTGGATGAAAAGGCTAGTCTTCCGAAGTTGTGACGCCTTGCACACCTGCGCATGACCGATGAGGCTTTGTGGACTGTACAATGATCTGTTTTGGCTCGGATGACTGTTTGCATTGTTTAAGACTGGAATGACTTATCTGTTTTCTTTTTGACAAAAGGAACAGCTCGTGGGGTACACATAAGCCATTACTGTCTTGAAAACGCTGCTATTCTTTTAATCTGGGTCAACGAAGTTATTAAATTAGTTATGTGGACTAAGGGAGGTGGCAGGTGCACCCTACGGGCTGTTTCGATTTGTCAAAAGATCGTGAAGCTGGCTGTTACCTCTTTATGTGAATATAACTAAGAATAATAATTTAAGTAAAATACATTATTTATATCAATCATTTAGATAATTACTTCTAATCATGCTGTTAAAATATTAGATATTTAGGTCTTAGATAAATAACTAAAGTTAAAGAATGAAAAATAGTATTACTTTTATATACATGTATAATAAATATATAATTTCTAAGATTTATCTTATACATATTTCTTTTTAATATTGTAAAGAGATTAATATTATACTAATAAACATGCGCTCCAACTTTAGACGCAACTTGTGATGCAAGTGAGCTGGAGCAGGCATGAGTTACTATTATGATGTTGCCGAATCTTGTCAATGACTCAAGCTCAGTTATAGAGTTTATGTGTTTGAATCGTAAGTGGCAAGATAGCTGACTAGGTAACCCTTTGCTTCCTTGTAATCTTGTAAATGTGAAATGTGTGAAACTTGGATCTGAAATAAGAAAACAATAGATCTATAAGCTTCACTGTATTAACTACTCAAAGATTAAGTTTGAAGTTATTGGTCGAGGCATGTGACAAGGTTTACATATGACAGTTAATAACTTTACGCGACACCATATCCATATTTCGCGCCATACAGCACATGCTTCTTATAGTCAAATGATATGCATAAGTCATCCAAAAGTAATTTTTACTTTGCTTGCCATAGTTTCACAAGCATCTAACCTTGTAAGTCTTTTTGAATATAAGAAGCTATTGCAACCTTTCCCCCAACTTTCCATTATCATATAACAGTCCACTGTGCCATTTAATATCGAGAAGCAGGAGATCAAACATAACCGGAAAACATGGTATTGCAGCACTGCCATCCAGATGGTGAGCACTTTTTGCATTCAGTTTTGGACTACGTATTAACACATAGCAATCTACAGATATCGAAAAAGATACTTTGCTCAATCATGCGACCCGCTACCTCCATGCTACAAATGACAATCCACTCCAATGCCACTCCAATGCAGCCGACGGATCCGGGGCATATGTATACGTGCTTGATTCAGGCATAGATTTCTCACATGCTGAATTCTCTGGCAGAGCTTTTCACGGAGCAAACTTCGTCCCAGGGTCACCAGATTACGACGAACTGGGCCATGGCACCCAGGTTGCAGGAATTATCGGGAGGGACTACGCGTGGTGTGGCCGAAGATTGCACCATGATTTTGGTCAAGGTAGTGAATAAATTGGGAGTAAGCAAAATCAGGTGGCTCTGCCAGGCCATACTGTGGACTCCTGATGATTCTATTGCAATGGGCATTGTTGATAAGATCGTCAATCTCTAAGAGGGGAAAACATTACTGTTATTAACACTGCCGTAAAGAAAGCTACCAATGCTGGCATTGCAGTGGTTGTTTCAGCAGGTAACAGCGGGGTTTCCGCTGTTATCTACTGCCCTGCCTCGGCCATCACCGCCATCACAGTCGCTGCGGATAGCCCCAATAACCGCCGCGCTCCCTTTTCCAACTACGGGCCCTGCGTTAAGATATTCGCTCCAGGTGTCGGAATTACTAGTACCTCGATCTCGGTTAGGTAAGAGAGTAGGCGTTATTCTGGCACGAGCTCGGCAACTGCGTATGTCTTGGGTCTAGCTGCATACTTTATTTCCAGAGAGGACTTGAGAGGCTACAGGGCCGTGAGGAAGCGAGTTCTATACGCCGCGAGTTTGAACTGAGTAATAAAAGATTCTCGTTGGAGCAGCAATCGCCTTGAATCTAGCGGTATGCTTAGAAATTAAACCCCCTAGAACACCTTGAGTAGCACTTAAATAAACCGTCCTATATACTCAATCTGCGCTTCGTATTTTCACTCTGCCATCCCTTTGCCCTCTCAAATCCATTTTTACTGTCGTAGAAGTCTTCGAAAGCCTGACGAATACCGTCAGCACTAGTTGATACAAATGGCCCATGCTGAACGATCGGTTGGTTAAGGATCTGGCCGGCGATGACGAGAAGGCGAGTGCTGGAACCTTGGCTCTCAGAAACCTGGATAGAAACTGCATCTCCTCCTGGTTTATATAACACCGTCCCATGCTGATCCACCCTCGTGGAGGTGCCGCTTGGAGATACGAAATCCGCAGAACCTTCATATACAAAAGAGAATGCATTCCAATCCTTAGGTAGGGGTTGAACTAGCGTACCGCCTGGTTGAATCTCAACATCCAGATACCACACAGGGGTATATGACAAGTCTTTGACGCCATCGACGTCGCCGACCTTGCCTGATATAACCTTGACAAGAACCTTGCCATTGTCTAAATGCACGAGCGGGATCTCTTTGGCTCTCAGATCTCGATATCTGGGCTCACACATCTTGAGATGCTTTGGGAGGTCGACCCACAACTGTAACCCAGCACCTTGACTTCCATCAGGGCTCGGGACGGGCTGTTCGGAATGCATAATGCCTCTACCCGCAGTCATAAACTGCAAGTCTCCAGCATTCAAAACGCCCCTGTTGCCAACACAGTCCTCATGCTCAACAGCGCCCTTGAGGATGTAGGTCACTGTTTCTTGTCCTCGGTGGGGGTGATCGGGGAATCCTGCACTGTTGCCCCCATTCATGTAGTCAAGCATAAGGAATGGTGAGAAGTTGCGCTGTTGTCGGCTGCCAATAGAGCGTCGTACTCTAGCTCCAGCGCCTTCGGACTGTTCAAGCGCGGTGAAGACTTTACTTATCGCTCTCAGTTCCGGCATTGTCGATAATTCGTTATAGTGACGAGGTTGTGCTGGTCGACAACTTCTGTGCTAACAATGTATGAGTTTTAATTGGCTGGGCTGAGTCTTATTTAACGATTTCGAGAATCTGTATAAGACTCAACCAGGCGATAATGTTCATATATATACGTAGGCACATACACTAGAACTGGGGTTAAGTTTCTACGGAGTAGAGAGTTGCTAATTATTAATGCTTACAAAATTTAGGTGGGGCCATCACATATCAGAGTTGGCTAGATCATAGAGGCCTGACCAGAGTCAGTTGGCTGCTGCGAATGGGAGCTCTGCTCGCTATGTATGTCAGTCATAATATCTAAGATAAAGGCTGAATTAGAGACATTCATTTCTAGAGTTTACATTTACCGGTTAATATCCTACTTTATGACTTTGAATGGTGTCAATGGGCTCAGGTGATTGAGTGTAGCACGAGGAAGTGATATGACAAATCAACCGCGCGGCAGCTCGGCCTTTAGGTAGCTTACCGCGCGGGAAGCCCGCTGGACAGACCACCAAAGCATGGTCTTAGATCGCGGCTCCTCTCGATGAATTTCGTGGTTAGTGCGCCTGAACGTAACCTAAATATTTGTTCCAACCGGTTTAAGGCACGCGATGGATACACTCTACTTCGAATCAAGCAAGCCGTTTTACATTATCAAGTATGGACGATATAGACGGAATATTGCTACAAAAAAACTTGTAGTGATTATTGAGTCTTGTTATCAAAATTTAAGCTCTTAAGGGCGAAGTTAACCTTGCTTGGTCGAGCGCAAGGATGGAATGTCCATGAAGGCAGGTGACGGGGCAAGATGTGAGTTTGTCTCTAACTAAAGCCAGAACACTGCGGGGCGGATGAGAAACAAGATGTCAATAATTAGCACTAGCTATAGAGAATATTAAATTGTTCCCCTTCTTACTTATACGAAGGACATATACACGCCGCACATAGTAGTCGTAACTTGTAAGTGAATGGAGACTGCTAACTATTCTAGTTCTCTGCCAGTTCTGACCGCCTACTCCATTGTCGCCACCATCTCAGTCCAGACTCTTGCGATATCGCACCATCCATAACAGCCTCTGCCAAAGATGTCATACAATCAATTTCCCAACCGGAGACGAGTGATACAAGCATGTGTGAATTGCCGTATGCGCAAGACGCGCTGTGACGCTGCTCAGCCAAGATGCGGCCTCTGCGCTTCACAGAATGTCGATTGCGTCTACCGAGATGCGAAACAACCAAAGATTGACTACAACACTCAAGTCCTCCTCGAGCGGATGCAGCTTCTCGAGGATCGCATCCTTTCGTCAAATTCATCTTCGCAGGCTCAGAGAGCTCCGCTGGAAGCGTCTCCTATGACCCATCATGATCCACAGCATGACTCAACCGCTGAGGGTCGAGAGCCTGTGTTTGAAGTTCAAATACCTCTGTCACATACGGCCAACGCCAATCACGTTTTCTCATGGAGCTTGGTCCAGACATTGCTATCAGAGAACAGCACAGATCAACAGGACTTGCTGAGGTATGCAGATGCAACTGAAGTTTTCTTTCAAGAGCAGCAGAACAGCAAACGTCCCTCAACAACGTTACAGCCTCTTACTTCGTGGAAGCTTTACGATAGCTCATACTTTAACTCATGCTCTGACGATGGCGTTGCACGACTGCACGACTTGATTCACCTCTATTTTACAAAAGTCAACATTTTCTTCCCTCTGCTATTGAAGAACGATATTCTGAAGATCTTCGAGAGTGTAACAGCGAGAGAGATTTACGGAAATGAAGAGACACCGATGGCTAATATGCCGCAATACGGTCTGCTTCTCGTGGTTCTTTGCCTGGCACTATTGAGTTCGAGTGGGCAGTCTGACATATCCATCGAAAAGAACTGTAAACCACTCTTAAACGGCGCAAACGTTCCTAAGGATCAGCTGAGAAGCGAACTTTGGAGCAAAGCGAGATTTGTACTGGGTTACACCTCTACTGATATGTCATTAGAAGCTGCTCAGGCCAGCATGCTCGCTAGGTGAGTTATCATTCCACGCCGTATAGAACTAACTGACATCTCAGCATCTACATGGGTGCGACGGGTGCAGTAGCAGAGGCTTTTCACTGGGCGCACGCAACGGCCGTCAAGTGCGAGACCATGGCTCAATTGCAAACAAAGAACGAGAGTATCTCCGACGGCTTCCGTCGCTTGTACTGGATATCCTTCATATACGAATGTGACTTCATATCAGAGATATCCATTGTGTCACCATCTGGTATAGCAAGATATGAAGATAAGATACCGTACCCGGCTTTTACTGCTGAAAGCCACCCTATCTCGCCATCCGCACCAGAGTCATCAGAAGCAACCTCGATAAGGAGCCAGGAAGAGCTCGTCGCGTTTCAGATAACCACAAACTCAGCCATTAGACGCTTTCTGAACACTGTCAATAGTGTTGTTTACGATGACAAGGAGCAGTTCCGGACAAGGCGATCTAATTACGCATCTTGGCTGCTCAGAATATCGGAAGATCTCTGGTCACATCACTCTGCCATTTACCGCAATCTCCCTGAGTTCCTCTTAAGCAGTCCATCCCAAGACATTCCAATGACGGGTGCCGACACAAGCCCTCCTGCGAGTCTGCAGTCACCAACGGCGCGTATCCAGGGCATTCCAGTCGGCAATAACTCGTGGAACATCTTGAGACTCAAGGGGAGATACTATGCAGGCCAATACATTATACACAGGCCTTTCATCGAATTTATTGTTCTCAACATCGACAACTTCGAATCGCATCCTTGCAAAGATGCAGTCCTGAGACGATCCAAGTCTTGTTTGGATGGATGCACGGGGTTTATCAAGGTATTTGATGTCCAGACGGTAAATAGCTTGACATGTTTGTTCCCCACTGGGATGGTGTGAGTAACCCTGCCGCTATTACTTTGGCTGTAACTAACCATCTTCCTTTTTCTTTAGGACCTTTACTATGACTATCATCCTGATGGTGGCGACCATCTTTCCATTGTTCAAGGATCTATTGCCTGATGATGTGGAGGATGTAATTCTGAGTGGGAAGAGAAACCTCGCTCGATTCAGCCAGAGCGTGGCAGAGTTTTCATGGCATATTGAAATACTAGAGAGGCTTGATGTGTCACGGAGAAATAGAATAGCAAGACAAGGTGACTGATAAATACTACTTGACTTATAATCCCATGTTTGAACTGATTTTGTTTACAGATATAGATTTTACTTCTTTATTGCATTGAACTAAAGCTTGATACATGGTATGTCTCATCTCAAGCCTATACTGCAACAGATACAGGATGGGCTTGCGGTTGTTGTTGTTGTTTCTTAAGCTCAGCTTTCAGCTTCTCCTCCGGCGACAGCTCAAAGATACCAACACCGGAGACAGATGCCTCCTTAGAGGCCACATCACTCGCAGTGCCTTCCGATTCAATAACCTTTCCTTCCAGCCTCTTATCACCAGCCTTCATGGGGGCATATGTCTTGAGAAGCTCATTCAACTGTTCCCTCTGCATGCAATTCTCATACTTCCAGCTTGCAGCGAGTTCGTCCAGTTCCTCAAAGGTCTTGTCCTTGAAGTAATCCGCCCACTCGGGGATCATGTACTCGGCCATGGTGATGCCTCGGATGCCGCGGAAGACGTGCATGTGCATGCGCCATTGCCAGGGATACTTTTTGGAGTACTGTGCAGGGACGTTATCTTCAAACCACTGGTGTAGTGGACCAAAGAGGCCGTCTTGGAGATGCGCATCGTCGTAAGCCCATGAGTCGACGGCGAGATCTCGTTTCTTCTTGATGATGGGTCCGAGAAGCTTGAGCCAGGCAGAGTCTGGGGAGACATGGGTCATGCCCATGACGTTGACGTCTTTGTATGCCCAGATCGACCACGCTGAGCTATGTTAGTGTTGCCCACGGAATAGAGTCTTAGGGTGACTTACCAATACTTTCTGATGTGTACATAGCCATCTGTCGATCTAGCATATCGTATCGCTCTCGGTTCTGGACTTCCCAATCTGGGTTGTACTCCTTTCTTTCGTAGATGGGACCGAATTCACCTGTAGAAAGAGGTAAGTTTAGGTCTTCGAAAGCACCCAATGATACTTACCATTCCAGATCGGCACCTTGTGCTTCTTCATAAACTCCACCTTGCGATCGTACATTCTACGAATGTAGCTCTCCTGTTCTTTTGTTCCTTGGAATCTACCGATACGGTTGGGGAACCCAAAGCCACAGTAGTCATGGATGGCGTACACCGAGTTGTCCCATACTCTGTCGAAACCTGTGAAGTCCATGCTGAATCTGTATCGAGGGTCTCGTCAGTACTTCTTCAGAAAGATAACTCCATGGATGGTACTCACGTGTTGCCTTCTAAGAACAGGATATGGTCAGGATCGATATTCCTGATCGCCGGCACGATACGGTCGTAGAATGCCAACAAACGAGTCCACTCAGAGTCAGCGGGCTCGTTCATGGGGTTGTAACCAGCAACCCATGGATTGCCTTTGTATCTTCTCGCAATATGTTCCCACAGGTTGATCGCCCGGTCTTGGAAGTGTTTGTGGTCCCAGAAGGCGGCGTGTCCGGTCGGGTTATCGCAGTGCCAATCCTGGTTCTGTCCACCGGGAAGGGCGTGAAGGTCGAGAATAGTGTAGATACCATATTTGGCGCACTGCGGTTTCGCCCTATGTTAGCAGCTGGCGGGAAGTAAAGTTGTTGCGACTTACAAGATTGATGACTCGGTCGACATGCTTAAAACCCTCTTCCTTGATAACGAATGGGTTCATGTCATCTTCAAAGTGTCTATAGTTGAGGCATAATCGCAGGCAGTTGAAGTTTAGCGAAGCAAGGAATTCAGCATCCTTTTCACCGAAGAAATATTCGAGGAACTTGTCGAAGAAGAAGTCGTGCTTCTCTTGGCCGAGCACCTTGAGAAGCGCAGCTCGTATCTGATGCTCTCGTCCGGGGAAGCCATTCATGAAGTTCTCCATGAGCATCCAACCGCCGAGGGCCGTCTGTGATGAAAGCGTCAATATGTCGCTATTTACAATACATCATAAGAGCGTGTAGAATGGGCATCACTACTTACACCGCGCAAGAGTACTGCATCGCCGTTCGCGTCGACAATGCGATCGCAATGTGTCTTTAGAATTCCGGTAGTCATGATTGAAATCAACAGCCGGTGAATTGGTCAATACCAGTGTAAATAATCCAGAAACAGACGCGCATGGACTGATCCTAAATACCCCATGACATCTACTCCCCGGGGATATATCCACTCTGCACATATCATCATTATACCAATGATGTTAGCTCATGAGGACTCCGTGTATTACCGAGGATACGCAATCCTCTATTGAGCATCAGAATTCCTCGGGGGAGTCAATTCCTTGCCCCGAGAGCAAGCTTGGGGGGAGGCGAGCCAATCATAAACGCTTCGGGGCAGCTAAAATCTAACCCCGATCTTCTCAAAGTGGAACACGAGTCGTGAAAACACGTAGGGGCAATAATTTAGCTCCCCCGAGACACCATGATTGGTCCATCTCGATCCTCCGTCTCCGCAGCATCTTGCTCATGACTATGAGCAATTCTCTGACGATGCAAAGACTTCACAGCTTCCCCGATGGGTTGACTTTACCCGACACATGGAACGATCCCCATGAGCAACATGCGGAGTTCCCCAGAGAATTGGTCTCGACCCCGCAAAGTTTAGCTGCAACGCTATCGAGTTGATGGGGCGAATGACACCCGAGTTTTCGGATGCTAACCAGGTGCACTCTAGGTCGGCAGACAATATAGGCAAAAGCAAGTCTCTCACTTCCGGTTGTTTATCACATCACAGACACATATATAAGACAACGTACCATGCAAGGTGACTTGCTCTGATCTCCTTCATCAACACCGACATCTCCTTTGGACTGATCTTTCGCCATGAACTTTCTTCGAAATCGTCTTCCGGCTCCAAAGCAGGACTTGCTCGCCAAGCAGGCCCGCCAGCAGGGCACCACCGACGCAGCCTACAAGCCCTCGCGCATATCTGAGCTCTCTAACGAGTCTCCAAGCTGGTACAAATCAGCTGCGCGTAGACATCTTTACTTCCTGCTCTTCCCAGCGTGTGTTGTGTCATACGCAACCTCTGGATATGATGGAAGTATGATGAACTCCCTGCAGACTGTCTCGTACTGGGATGACTTCTTCGACAACCCGCGCGGATCTCAGCTTGGCCTCATGAGCGCTATCATGTCGCTCGGCAGCATCTGCTCCACGCCCATTGCGCCTTTTGTCGCTGATAAATATGGTAGACGATGGGGTATCACTACAGGAAGCATCATCATGATCGCCGGTGCCATTCTGCAGTGCGAGAGTACCAACTTTGCCATGTTTGTTGTCAGCCGTTTTATTCTGGGCTTTGGATTATCTTTTGCTACGACTGCGTCTCCTAGCATGGTTAGTGAGTTGTCTCATCCGAAAGATCGAGTCACCATTACCGCTATCTGCAACACTTGGTAAGTCAATCTTTTCTATCTGTCCACTACGTTTGCTGACTGTTCCAGTTGGTTCCTGGGCTCTATTGCAGCTGCTTGGATCACCTACGGCACTCGAGTAATCCCCAGCACGTGGTCATGGAGGATCCCCTCTTTGCTTCAGATGGCACCCAGTCTCATCCAGCTATCCACTGTCTGGTTCCTCCCCGAATCCCCACGATGGCTCATCTCGAACGATCGTAGTGAAGAGGCCCTTGAAGCTCTTACCAAGTACCATGGAGAAGGTGTCAAGACGGAGCTGGTAGAGCTGGAATATGAGGAGATTCGAGCCGCAATTGAGCAAGAGAAGCGTAAGTCGCTCGCTGTCACCCTGCCGTGCTTTACTAACAGTCCTCAGTATCTGGTCAAACTACTTGGAAGTCTATGGTCAGCACCAAAGGCAACCGGTATAGAATGTTTCTCGTTATCTGCATGGGTCTAATGTCTCAATGGTCTGGAAATGGATTGATCTCTTACTGTAAGTCGACTTCATCAGTCACAATCTAACGGATCAATCGCTGACTTAATGACTCTGCAGATCTCTCCCGAGTCATGGACACCGTCGGCATCACGAATAAGAAGACACAAGCCCTGGTCAACGGTCTTATCAATATCTGGAACTGGGCCCTCGCTCTCACCAGCGCCTGCTTCGTCGATCGTGTCGGCCGCCGTCCTCTTTTCCGAATCTCTACAATCGGCATGTTACTAGTCTTTACAGGGTGGACCATCGCATCGGAACGCTTTGCTGCCACTGAGGCCAAGTCTGCCGGCGTTGCGGTGATGGCGCTCATCTTCGTATACGAGATCTTCTACTGCATGGCTTTCTCGCCGCTTCCGGTTGCATACTCGGTTGAGGTTCTCCCATACTCCATCCGGGCCAAGGGGATGGGTGTGTATGTTCTGGCGACCAAATGCGCTGTCTTCGTCAATCAGTATGTCAACCCGGTCGGACTTGACAGCATTGGATGGCGATACTACCTTGTTTACGTTGCGGTCTTGATTGTTGAGAGTTTCATCGCCTACGGTTGGTTCCTCGAAACGAAGGGTAAAGCCTTGGAGGAGATTGCTGTCATCTTTGATGGGGAGGCCGCAGATGTCACCGTTGACGAGTCTGCCAAGTCCAAAGTCTTCAGCACTGAGATGCCAACGACCCTTGAACAGGAGAATGTCGACCGCAAGATCTAGGGTACGCAGTTTGAAGCAGCCCGCCTAAAGATATTCAATAGCTATAGCTATGCCCTAATAACAATAGTGATTAAGACTTGACCTACACAATAAACATAAGAGTGTTAATCAGTAACTGATAACGAACTGATAATAAAGGTTGTCCGGTTGAAGCTGGTGGCATAGCACGCGTAACATATTAATGCAGCAACGGAACTGCTTGCTTAGCGGGGCCGTTGCGTCGATTGGCTAAGGCGTGTCCTTGTTGGTCCCCAGATTGATACGGCACGTGCAGGCCCCACCTCATCCTTGTCCTACCTCTTCGTCTCCCGTCCAACCCTCAGTTACCCCGGATGGCATTGAACATCAAGGTAATGGTACAGCGTTTCAACAGCTCACCTAGGCCGGCGGCTTGCTTCAATAATTGAAATAAACAGCCAAAGCGCAACAACGGAAGCCATGGAGCTGCTGACTCTTCCTTTAGCGTTCCAGAACGGCTCGGCCCGCCTCCTCACAGGAGACCTGGTCGTACGCGACATTGAGCACTGGTGTCATCGAAAAGCTCACAAAGGTGGCATCCAACCAGTCATGGCCGTCGTCTTTTTCAACACGGGCCCTGATGCAGTAGATTATGTCAAGATCAAGGCTCATGTTGCTGCGCGGGTAAGTCAACAATTTCCCCATTCGCGCCATGGACTGTAGCGAGGACAAGAGCTGCGATGTGGCATAAAAGACTCCCTGGCGCCTCCCTTCTAGATCTTAGCTGACACACTGCGGAATAGGCTGGCGTCGATTATTGGGTATATGAGATGCCCGTCGACGCGTCGACAATAGAGGTCATGAGCCAAGTCAAGGAACTTAACATGGATCTCCAAATACACGGCATCCTTATACAGCGCCCCTTGCCCCAGCAGTTGAACGAAGCAAAGATCATGAGATACATCGATCCTATCAAGAACATTGAAGAATACGATAAAGGTCAGGCGGACAATATTGCTGCAGACGCCTTAGTCCGCTTGTTGGCCAGATATGGGCTGTCAGAGTCGGCACAGCAGGCTAAAATCCAGATTGTCGGTTTTGGAAATATCATCACGAAAGAGTTCATCAAGCAGATGAAGCGCAAATTCCCCTACGTGAGCGCTTCCAAAGACTTCGATCCATCTTACGATACCAGTACAGACAAGCATGAACCTCGTCAGGAGGAAGTTCAGGCACCACGCGCTTCCATGATGATCTCGGAACTGCATCGCGGACCTGGCTTCATCAAAGAATCCATGATCAAGCCGGAAGTGAGCGTCTTGGTCGATCTTGGCTTCTACGTTACAGAAAAAGGCGTCATCGGCGATGTGAGCCACGCGCTCTTTGACCGGAGTGATCTAGCAATCGCCCCGACACCGGGAGGAGTTCTTCCCATCTTGTTATGGATCATGATGGAGCGCACGATCAAGGCTAAGCAGATGATTGCGAAGGAAGACCTGCGAGGGTGTTGTTGTTCACCTATGTGAGATTAGCAGAGGTTGCGTTTGGGCTAACATAGACTTTAATTTACTGCAGTAGCTACATTGCGCCTTGGTTTTATGACTTGATAGCATTTTTGCACTCCCGTCGGGCGCGATGACATAGTCGTGAAGATCATCTCACATTGAGCCCAATCAGGCAACGACCGCAGCGCACGAGTCAGCGGGGTCATGGCCTGGGCCGTTCATCTCACTCTATGTTCCTCCATTTCTTTCACTGTAATGGTTCTGCATCCCGGTTTTAAATCCAGCATGGACTGCGATAAGGAGAATATCTACATTGATACCTCCGGTATTGATGAGGACAGTCTCAGATGTCCAAAGCCAGATGCCAGTCGAGGAGCCAGAAGCCGTCGTACCCGGGCCGAGAGTAAGCCTGCACGTTGGTGGGAGGGTTTTTGCCCATTATCCTCGAAGTCAATGCAATATCTAGAGCCACCAAGTGCGAGAGAAGAGGACTGTCTATACTTACCCAGCTATCCTGCAGAAGCGGAAGCGCGGACGCGTGCTATTGACCAATACCTCGCTTCTGAGTCCCAGCAGAGCAAACGGCAATTAAAAATCATCCTCTTCGGCGATGAGCATGAGAAAAGTCTTTTTCTGAAACAAACCCGCCTTCTTGAGGTTCCGCTTTCCAATAAAGAACGTGCAGATGTTCGGGCCGAAGCGAGGCGCTTGGTCACATCGATATGCCGGGAATGCTTGCATATTGTCAATGAACATGCCTGCAAGCCAGAATGGATCAATGCTCATCCAGTTCTGGGGCGTGTCAAGGAGATTGTGTCGAGCGAAGATCCCTACGATGAGGAGACGGTCGAAAGCATGGTGAACCTGTATTGCGACGACGAACTGCGGCTCGCGCTCAACCAATCTGGCCATAACCTCGAAACCATCGAGCGACAATTCCTGAACAGCCGCTTTCCACATATTCTCACGTGCCCCTGCACTGCAAATGGCAATCTGAGCAAGCTGTTGAAGCGAGTATTTGCGCCAGAGTACGTCCCTACAGAACATGACTGGTTCCACTTTGACCAGCGCCGTTTGGGGCGAGTGGCCCAGGAGGCTCTCATCCATCGAGACAATCACATGCTACAGCTTTTACAAATCACGGATCGGTCAACACAGACACGAAAATGGATTCATGTCTTGGTCGATGACGCGGCCTGCCTTCTTTTTATTTGTAACCTAGCCATCTACGACCAGGCTCTGCTAGAAGACGAGACTATAAACAGACTCCATGAAGATCTCATCCTCTTTAGCTCGCTGGCTAACTCAAGATGGTTCGCCCAAACGCCATTCTTTGTCATTTTGTCAAATATTTCGGCATTTAGGAACAAGATTCTGCAGCCGCCGCTGTCCAAATGGTTGCCCCAATTTGAGGGAGGCAGTAACGGAGATGCGGCGCTCGAGTTTATTAAAGACCGGATCCGGGAACTTGCGAAACCTGACCAGAATATATATATACACGTTGCAGATATTTATAGCACAGAGGGCGTGATAGCTGCTATTGAGACTATGGAGAATAGGTCGCTCCATCAAGTCTTGGAGGAGCTTGGTATGGCTCCTATTGAGTGTAAGGACCAGTCTTCAAGAGCTTTTAAAAGGTCAGAAAACACATTTGGGCCTTAACACAAGACACAATGGTCTAAATCGTACGATTTCAAAATTTGGGTCAGGCACCAACTTGAAAAAATGCAATACTGCCAAGACAAAAGGCGCCACTTTATCGTTTTTCAGCTTTTCTTGGCTACATGTTTGATCTCTATAAGTGGCAGGAGAAAATGACAACAATGCGGATTTATTTATAAATTAAAGACCTTGCCCTTACAGCACATTAAACTAATACAGACCATGAGGTTTCCAAATTATAGATGATGTATCAAAAAGTTACATAAGTACATACTTTGTTGCAAGGAAAGAGGACCACCTGGGTCTCATTTCAGCGCAACGAATGCAATAATGGCTCGATAATTATCAAAGCTCAGGAGAGCCTGATTTGATCCTTTACTCTTGCAATCATCGGTCTGAGATACAAGTCATTCAATCTATCTCTTAGATAATGGTTGAAGCCATACGTCAAGGCATTCGCCAGTCCAATAAACTGCGTTGGAGCTTGAAGGGCAACGTTGATTGTTTTCGAGTTCGGATTCCCAGACGCTTCCATAAGTCGATTAATGAGTCCAGGCATCCAGAGAAGAACATACATAAAGGGGTATGCGTTAAGTAGCAGCATTCTCTTGATCTCAAGTTCGACTTTATCAGCATCCGGGCGCATATGGAATTCACTCGCGTTGGTTTGCAATACGCTCAACTGACTTTGCTGAGACTGCCTTGCTTGAGATGGCTCGGGATATAGACAGCTGGGATCTTCTGGCGTTGTTGGATCCGCTCCGGATTTCGATGCCGTAGGCCGATGCCGCATAGCCCCTCCTTTTGTCTTGGTAGAACCGGCTGGGGGTCTCTCTCCCAGTTCAATATTGATCTCCTTGAATCTGGTATCTGGAGGTGAAGGAGGCGGTTGACATTCCTCACAGAACATCTTCGGGTTAGTCGCTGCTGTGCTTGGTTGTTCTCGCTCAAGTGGATCAAGTTCGATTACCTCCCCGCCCATAGGCTGGAAACCGCTTCTTCTCGGGCTCTTAAGTGGAAGGGATGCAATTTTATTGCTAGACCGTGCTTCGCATCGCAGTTGACGAGCCCTGCGGGGCTTAGGCTCGAGCCGTCTTCTCAAGTAAAGCCAGATGTAGATATAAATGGCAATCGTGCTGAAGATACCGAATATACGCCAGCCATGTGCCATTGTGTATCGTAGATCAGGGCGATTTATTGCTATCCAGCACCAGTTGCCACCGACTGGTTGCATATCCCCCATGGAGGTTGGTATGATGCTTGTGATGAGAGGAAGGATGGAAATGGAAAGACAAATACATATTCTCTTTGTCATGGACACCGATGGCATATAGATTCGTCGTGTTACTGTAAAGAGAGTGACAACAGCGATTGCTAGTATCGAAAGGTCTACTCCTTGAGCTGAAAGCTGGCCAATGAAGCCATTAACAGTACAAAGTCTCCCAATACTAAGTTCTCCGTTCTTAAGATGCCAAATACCGGATACGGAATTATTCAGGTTATTTGCAAATTCTAGAGCGATTAGAAGAAAAAAAAAGATGGCAAGAAGAGACATTTTGCATACCAAAGAACATTAACTCCAGAATTAGCATTTGCCTGAAAGTTCGGATATGGTGGTAATAAATGGCGAACGAAATGAGTACACAAGTGGTTGCGAAGAATGACATGACACTTCCTGCCAAAGTGACGGATGAGATCGCCACATGGATGTCGAACGCCATTCTAGATAATCTCAATAAACGCAACACGGGGTGACAGAAATGAGCACTATGGTTTAAGAGGGTGATCCAAATAGTGCGCTAGTTTGCTCGGAAATAATTACTGTATTACGGTCTTTCTCGAACCGTTTAAATATTCTGTTGTCATGATCAAAGCTTCTACTTTTTGCACCCTTTGTCGGCCCGACACTTGTTTCACCGCGGAAGGGGCCGAGAATCCCCTCCCGCTCCCCTGTCTACCAGGGGGTTCAAGTGGGCTATGGCATCAGGCGCGTCAAACGCAGCTACCAATGGCGTGCCCTTGATATTCTCCATGGCAGTAGAACCCTTGAGCCATTTGGTAAGTGAGTTGACATCTTGACGTCACTTAGTAAGATCTTAAAGGAGGGAGCTTGGCATATCTGGCTGAGTGTGAAAACTAGCAAAGAACCCTCAAACTTAGGTATCGCGAAGAAATATTACTAAAGCTGCAACACTGAAGGTCTACTTTAGATCTTTATTTTGCGAGGTGCTAATAATATCCTTAAGTATATATATCTTGTTTTAGTTCTGCTACTCAATCTTAATAACAACTTTGCTAAAATGCTTCTGGTCCACCAGATACTGGTAAGCACTTGGATTAGTTAGCCTGGCTTCCAAATCGCTATAACAAATGGTTGGCTTACTCTTTGAGCCCCTCGAGCTTGAAGACATGCTGGTCAAGAACGGGTTTGATGTCGAAAGCCTCAATGGCGCGAACCTGGAGAAGTTAATAACTCGACAATGAAAGGTGGCGAAAGGGGCAGCGAGAAACACGATTACTCAAGAACGTACCATTGCTTCGAATTGATCTCGACTCCCGACAACGATGCCCCTGATGACAGCCATGCTGGACAAGATCTGAGGGAAGCTCGGTCCAGTCTCTCCCGGCCCAGCAATCCAACCAATGATGGTAACAACCCCGCCGAGACTCACAGCTTTGAGGCTTTCCGTGATAGTGTGCGCGCCCCCAACTTCGAGGACATGGTCAACACCACCTCCAGTGAGCCTCTTGGCCTCCTCTCCCCAGTTCGGAATCTCCTTGTAGTTGATGACATGATCAGCTCCCAGCTCCTTCAGCTTCTGAGCCTTGGCTGCAGAGGACGTCGTGGCCACAACTCGAGCGCCCGCAGCCTTTGCGAACTGCAGAGCAGAAATGCTGACGCCACCAGTACCCTGTGTCAAGACCCAGTCTCCGGGAAGAAGTGTCTTCAGCCCATAGAGAGCATTCCACGCCGTAAGGGCGCTGCAGGGCAGTGTCGCAGCCTCTAGATAGCTGAGGTTCTTGGGCATATCCACAAGTCCATTCTCGTTAAAGACGCCGTGCTCTCGCAGAGTGCCATCAATAGAGCCACCTACCGCCGATCCCAAGGCCATTGGGGTCAGCGGTCCACCAAGATACGCTTGCATAAACAAAGTCATGACCTTGGAACCTTCCTGAAAGCGGGTGACCTTCTTTCCAACAGCCACGACTTCTCCGGCGCCATCAGAGCCTGGAATTATGTTTGGCTTGACATCAAAAGGATAAGTGCCCTGAACGAGTTAGTCAGACTGATCGTGGTAGAGAGAGATTATTTACCTGGGCAATCATGATATCGCGGAAGTTGAGAGAGGCTGCATGGA